GTATAGAAGTAGATTCCTCAAAGAAAGGCATCTTTATCTCCCAAAAGAAAGCCCAAGAAAGTCATGGTTATTGATCTGGTCACATAAGAAACTAGCTATGATTGAACAAGACCACAGTTATTGATCTTGTCAAAGAAACTATGTATGATTAATTACAGCCCCTAAGACCATGGAGTTGCTGACTCCCTCCTCTGCTCCATCTCCCCCCCTACCTGTAGATGATCCTACATCACACGTGGCCACTTAAAATCTGGGCAGTAATCAACATAAAGGCCCATATACCAAAGACTTGTTGGGAACTCATTTACTTAGCTCACAACCAAAATGGGATACTAGCACTATGTAGTATGCGGTGTCATTATCTAGTCCGGGGTTCATAAATGATCTCCTAACGGAGAGATATGACGTACGAAGTTGTTGTTGGAATGTCCCACATTCAAACCGTAGAGATAAGAATCAATTTAGAATAGATACCGTGACATGCAACCTTACCCTATAAGTCAGTTTTAGGGGTTGAGTAGGCTTTAAACGTACCACTCTAAACACTCCCTGTTATTAGAGTCGGGTAGAGCACTATCCCTCGGCAATATTTGGGTTGGTTGGGCCAGATTGTTTCCACCCAGCTATCAGGGCCGTCTATCGCCCACCCCATTAATGGCTAGACTCACCACTCAAGATATATATATCTGACTGAGGGGGTGTGTGTTGGAACCAGTCTCACCTCGACTAGAGAAGGGCTAATTTAGACTAGATAAGTAGATGCAAAACTCATCCTATAAGTCAGTTTTGCATAGGGTTTGAGCTGTAGGGACTTAAAGTCCCACTCACTTTACAGTGGTTAAACAAAACCTTCAATATTTGAAGACAAGTCCAGGGACGGGGATTATTGTTCAGAGAAATGAAAAATTTAACACTAGGGGAAATGTAAATTTGATGCAGATTGCCAGGACCTCTATCAGAGATAGGAAACTCCACCTAAGGATATTGCCATGTTTTGGGTGAAAATATTCCCGGTCTCGACTTGTGAGAAACTCAATCCGCCAAAACCTATTGTTGCAACGGTCTAGTGCAGCACGTGACTTCCGAGCTATGGCAAACGGGGTGTATGAAATTATGTATGAATAGAATTATTCTAAATGATCACAAGTGAATGTGAAGAAAACTATGATCCTTTATATATCTATATTTATACTCATCCTCAGGTTCTTTCTTTTCTCTTCAGTCTCTACCATATAATCGCCCAACCCGACTCTCATTCCCACGGAACTACCAATCAACCCCTCCATAGATGCTCACCCACCCTTACCCCAGCCCCTTACTCCCTCAAACTCCCCGTGATCCTCTTGCCAGTGGTCTGACCCCCAGAGAGATCCCTTGACCCAACCATACTCTCCCCCGCCTTCCCCCCCACCTCACTCCCCTAACGCTTCCCACTCTCCTCCCTCCCCCCCCTTATAACCCTACTGCTCTTTCTTTTCCCCCTTCCTTTCTCAATATTGCCCTTTCTCTCCTCTTGTTCTCTTCTTATTTTCCCTCCCACCGTTCGGTTCTTCACATTTCCACCTTGTGATCATTGAGATAATTCTCATTCATAATAATTGCATACACCCCTTGTGCATAGCAGAATTCAACTCTGCACAGACTTGCATATTTTATTATATTATCCCACCGCATTTTCACTTTAGTGTAGTATTCTAATTCCCGCGTTCAATCTCACTCCTCTACTAAGCCGTTGCTGACGACTCATTCACATTTCTTCCTCCTCTTTCATCATCGTCTTTTCAACCCACCCCCCATGCACATATCCTCGCACTCCGCGGGCTGCCACCCCCTATGTTAAGCCATCACTACGCTCTTAGTGGCCATTAGATTCCCCCCAGCAAACCTCTGCATTCAATTACATTTCCATTTTTAAATGTTCATTTCTCTTGATACCAATAATCACGTCATGCCCTTCTCTCCTCCCTCTTCCCGCCACACTCACCAAACCACATCCTTCTCTTACTAATTCCCACACCTCCCTCCCCCCCTCCCCCACCTACCAAACCCTTCTAACATCGCTTCCCATACCCTATCTCCCACATGAGCACCTACTCGGCCCCCACAACCAAAGAAGCGATGCGAATCCCCCGCTAAACCGGCACGATCTCTTCTTATCGCTCCCCGTCACCTCTTCTGTTACTTTCTCACCCTTGACTTGTCTTCAAATATTGAAGGATTTTGTTTACCTCCACTGTAAAGAAGTGGACTTTAAGCCTAACTCAACCCTAAAAACGACTTATAGGATATGTTTGCATCTACTTATTTTATAAATTAGCCCTATCTCTAGTCGATGTGAGACTTCCAACACACCCCCTCACGTCGAGATATATATATCTTGAGGTGAGTTCTAGACATTAAGGGTGGTTCGATAACGGCCTGATAGCGGGTGAAACAACATGCCCAACAAACAACAAATATTGCCAGGATAGGCTCTAACCTGACTCTAATACCATGTAAGAAGTGGACTTTAAGCCTAACTCAACCCCATAAAACTGACTTATAGGGTAAGGTTTGCACTCACTTATATATTATAACATTGATCTTATCTCTAGTTGATGTGGGACTTCCAACAACAACTTCTAGATATCTCTCCTTTGGATCATGTATGAACCGACTAATGACACTCACAACAATAGGCCTATATCCAATTGGTGTGAGCTAAGTAAATGGCTTCCCCAACAAGTCTTGATATGGCCTTTATTTTACTCCCATTTTATTCCTTTTGTTCTATAACAACTCCAGTGGTCTTGTAATTATCATACTAGTTTCTTTGACAAGAACAATAAGCGTGGTCTTGTAATCAATCATACTAGTTTCTTTGACAAGATCAATAACATACTTTCTTTGGGAGATAAAGATGCCTTTCTTTGAGGAAGCTACTTCTATCCGAAGGAAGTACTTCACTTTCTTAGATTACTTCATTTCCAAGCAAGTTTTTCCTTTGAGATTTGTTTCTCATGTTCATCATCTCTTGCAACAATCATATCGTCAACATAGACTTAAAGTAGTGCAAGTTTACCTTTGGATAATGCTTGATGAACAAGGTACGGTCACCTTGACTCTGTCGAAACCCCATGGAGATCATAACATGAGTGAGCCGACCAAACCAAAACCGAGGTGACTGCTTGAGTCCATACAAGGTTTTCTTAAAACCTACAAACTTTATTCTCTTCTTCAGTAGCCTAAAACCTGTGGGAATTTCCCATATAGACTTCTTCCTTTAAATTGTCCATGCAAGAAAGCATTTTTCACATTAAACTGTTGCAATTCCCAACCAAAATAAGTTGCCAATGAGAGAATGATTCTAATTGTATTCATCTTTGTCACTCGAGCAAATGTCCTTCTTATAATCAATACCATAAGTTTGAGTAAATCCTTTAACAACTAACCTTGCTTTGGTAACATTCTAATGTGCCATCGGATTTATACTTTACATTATAAACCCATTTGCATCCTACTACATTTTTATCTAGTAGCCTGTTAACAATTTCCCATGTTTGGCGCTTTTCTAAGGCACTCATCTCTTTTATTCATGGTTTGGACCCAATTCTCATCCTTCAAGCTTCTTGAACGGAAGTAGGGACTCTAATTGCATCAATGGTAAAGACGAAACTTTGGTGCTGCATAGATAGGTTTTAGTAGTCATAAAATGAGAAATAGGATACTTGGTGCAAGATCAAGTTCTTTTCCTCAAAGCAATGGGCAAGTCATCAAGATGAGGTTCACAATTATTCAAGGAATTTTCCAAATGTTCAAGGGTGTCAGAAGAAGGAACACTTACCCCTGGGTCAGATCATTGGTGTTGTTCATGGATCAGGTTGGGTTGCTTTTGTCTCCATTGATATTTTATATGGAAGAAATTATCTGGACAACTAATTTCTAGATGTGACCGTCTCAGGGTCAGAGTTGCCCTTGTTAGGAGCAACTTCAGAAACATGACTAATTTTTGGAGCTGACCCTAACTTAGGAACACGGGTTCCCTTGTTAGGAGTAGCTTCAGAATCGAAATCTCATCCAGTTTGTGGGGATTAGAATTTTGAATTGGATGAGTGGTGTGATGGTTGGGGAAAGGAATGGGTACTATAAGAAAAAGGACTTGTTTGAAGAGACATAAAACTTTTTGAATATTAAATGTAAACATTAATTATATTTCAGTTTGGTTGACAGCCACGTGAAAAACACGGTGACGACACAGCACATAATGTGCCATGTCAGCGAAACTGATGGTGTCATCCATTTGAAGGACAAACGGGAATACCAAATCTTTTTTTTAATTTTTGACATATTTAGGGATGAAATAGAAGGCATTATACACCTTTAAGGACTTCAAAGGGTATTCAACCTTCTTTAATCTTGCGTCTATCGCTCTCTCTTGAGTAACCATCTCGTCCATTCGTTATCTTCAAATGTTTGATATTCTTTTGAGGTCCTCATCAGTTTTTATTGTATTTTCTCTCTACTGTAACTTCTTAAACTCAAACCCAAACTAATTCTTTTAATATTAATTTATCTGAAATAGTTGTTTTAGCATCAATTATTTTAAAAGTAATTCTTCTTAAATTTAAACCAAATGTGTCCTCAACATTTTTGCTTAAATTCAATTTTTAATATAAGAATGTAGAGCAAGCATTAAACACTAGACCACTATGTTGCTTTAAAGTGAAAGCCAATAAGAACACTTCACCGCTATCTTGTCATATGTGGACTATAGTTATCTGTTCTATATTCAGTTCAACTGTGTAATATTTTTACTTTGTTGTTACCAATTTTAATTGTCTGGACCCATGCTAACACTGAAATACCATTATCATTTTTGTGTATTAATTATGTCAAGCTATGAGCTTAAGCTGCTTTGTGTCCAAATGGGAAAAACCTGTAGACTATATGTCTACCTTGCGGATCTTTAGTGTTTCGTGTCACACATGAATTGTCATTTTTTTAGCCATCACGATCTCTGACAGTTTAATTTGTTAAAATGTTGTCATCTTAGGGATGGAACATCAATTGTGCTCTCAGATGATGTTGGACAAATATATTTTCTGAACACAGGTCAAGGCGAGTCCCAAAAAGATGCAAAATATGATCAGGTGGTAAAATATTCCTCCCCTACCTTTTTTTGAAATCAATATAAACTTTATGGAAAGTAAATTTATGTCTATCTCTTTTTTTCTGGCAGTTTTTTCTTGGAGATTATCGACCCCTTATTCAAGATACTCTGGGAAATGTTCTTGATCAGGTTGATAGTCGATGTGCTTCTGTACTTTGTTGATTGTCAGTATGTTTGACTTGATAAGATTGTTGAAATTTTCTGTGGCATACCCAGCTAACCTATGTCACATCTGATGCAGGAGACTCAACTTCCACCACATCGAAGAAACATTCAGGAACCTCTGTGTGATTCTAGTATGTTATTTTTTATTCTAGTATGTTGTGGTTTATTTTGTAATTCTTATGTTTAATAGGATGCTAATTTCTTACAATTTTTCTTTTATACCAGGCATGGTGCCATATCCAGAACCTTATCAGAGTCAATTTCAGCAACGTCGACTTGGTGCTCTTGGCATTGAATGGCGTCCTTCGCAGATAAAATATGCTGTCGGCCCAGATTTTAGTGGTAGCCAAGGTCAAGACTTCCCAGTCATGCCTTTGGTAGATTTTGAAGTAATGGTTGAGCCACAACCAGATTTCATAGATGCCACGTTATGGGAACCAGAATATGACATGATTGTAAGTGAGGATACTGATTCTGAATACAATGTGAATGATGATACTTCTAGTGCAGCTGCACAAGGGAGTGTCATCTCTTCTAGTGATCTAGAGTGCAGCGAAGATGACTCTAGTAATAAGGATGGCCTTAGAAGATCAAGAAGGAAAAAACATAACGTTGGAGTAAGTGTCTTCTTTTTTGTTTGATCAATACTTAATTACAAATTATCTAATCTTAATGTTTCTCAGGTTGAGGTAACAACTTCCTCTGGAAGGCGCGTTAGAAAAAGGAATTTGGATGAGTGTAATGGTAATACTTCTGGAAGTAACAGACCCAGTAAGAAATCCAAGGGCAGTTCAAAATCATCAAAAAGGAAATCTTCAAAAGCAAAGAGATCAAGACCCCAGAGAGTTGCTGCACATAATGCTCGCCATATGTTCTCTCAAATTGATGAAACATCTACTGATGAGGAAGATAATGATTCCAATGATGAATCATCAGACAGTTTCCAAGATCCAGACGATTTTAGTGAGCCTGAGAGGGAAATGGACGTGAAGCATGATGAATTTAAAAAGTCTCAGTTAAAAAAGTTTGCAAATGTGTCGAAGTCTCCTGTATGCTCTGAATCCCAGTCAAATGTTGAAACTAGACCAAGACTGGTACTTAAGTTTTCACTTCGTGATTCTAAGAAGAGTGTGCCCACAGAGGACACAAAACCTACTTGTGAGACTGAGGATAATATGGTATGTCAGTCTTCTAGACCTCAACCCCAAGAATGCCATCATAAAACTTTTCCAGATTCAAAATCTTTGGACTCTGTGCTATCTTCTATGACTGCAACTAATTCTGAACTTCCCCAAAGGCACAATGGAGATGAAAATGATGATAAGATTCAAACTGAGAATGCTACAAATAATCTGGATCCATCTAGATATGTTGAGGAAAACACAGATCAGTGCGGAAAGGTGGAGACACACACGTATGAACTGTCAAGATCAGGGGATGCTTTGCTGACTGGTGCTGAAAATGATGACCATATCGAACACAATGCCAATGGGTAAGTAAAGATAAATGTAAAAAAAATGTTTATGATACTGCTTCACTTTCTATATTTGGCAATGTCTTCAGAATCCAATGTTTTTCACTACCATGTTTTGCAGGAGATCAGAACATATGATTGGCAAGTTAGAGACTTCCGGTAGTATGATTAATAAAGGGCTGACTGGTTTTGAAGATGCACTTAAAATTTCCTCACCCGAACCTTTTTCATCTGGAAATGCTCAGCCAAATGCTGATGCCTTCTGGACATCTGGTTATGAGAAGTTCAATGGTGTTAATAAAAGCCAGTCTGGGTCTGGCAAATGTGCGGAGGACTCGATAGAAAACAATGAAGCTGTTCACTCAAGCCACGCTGGTGACCTGAAAATGAAAGCACCTATGAAATCAACCAAGCTAATTATTAAAAAGAAACAGATTTCATCTGAAACTGAAGCTCCTTGCAAACTAAAATTTGTTAGTTCTAAGGCAGATTCAACTGGTGCTAGAGGTATTGTTATATCTGGAAATTCCTCTATTACAGGTCCTAATCTTTTACCTGAAGGTGAAGATGACATAAAATTTAGTACTCCACAGCTACTGCATTCATATTCTGACAAGAGAAGAGATTACGTTCATGAAAGGGATAAGTCGCATAAAGGAAAAGTCAATCAAGATGGTTTTGAATCTTTTGATTGTGATATTGAAGAACATAATTCTGTTTTCAGCAATCAACTTGGTTTACAAATTGGTTTGTCTGATGTTTTAAGTGATCCTATACGTCGATCACGATCTGTAAGGATAAAAACAACTTCTGAGGAGCCAAGCACTTCAAACAGAAGGGTTAAAATTCATGGGGGTCAAAGTTCGAGGGGAAAATCTGATTGGGAAGACTGTTCTACCAAAGTGTCTGATCAACTTCATCGTAGAACTAGGACTTCCAGACATAGGCGTGATGAACATATTTCCAGTAATCCTGGTGGCTCTTTAACTCGAAGGGTGTCAAACCATCATGTCAAAAATTCGTCATGGTTGATGCTGTCAATGCACGATGATAGTTACCGATATATTCCTCAACATGGTGATGAAGTTGTGTACTTTAGACAGGTAGGTTACATTTTTTTCCCGTTATGGTTTGTAATAAATAGTTCATAGACTCTGGGAAAACAAGTTTCCCTAATCTGTTTCTAGTTTATGCTCTTATCCTTATTTGGTTGGTTTTGTAATCTGCTTCCTAATTCATCTTCCCGTTATGGTTTGTAATAAATAGTTCATAGACTCTTGGAAAACAAGTTTCCCTAATCTGTTTCCTAGTTTATGCTCTTATCCTTATTTGGTTGGTTTTGTAATCTGCTTCCTAATTCATCTTCCTGATATTTGATTGCCAGGGACATCAAGAGTACTTAGAGTCATGTGCATCATCTGAATCAGGTCCATGGAGATCAATTACAGGACTAGGCTTTTCTGAAATTTGCAAGGTTGAAGAGCTTGAGTATGCTGAGCTCCCAGGCTCCGGGGACAGCTGTTGTAAACTTAAACTTAAATTTGTGGATCCTTCTTCATACGTGCATGGAAAAATGTTTAAATTGACCCTACCTGAATTGAATGACTTCTCTGATTTTGTTGTTGAGAAAACATGGTATGATACTGCCATGAAGAGAAATTGGTCTTCAAGAGATAAATGCAAGGTCTGGTGGAGAAATGGAGACGGGGATGGTGGAAACTGGTGGGATGGTAGAATTATTTCAGTGCAGGCCAAATCTCATGACTTTCCTGATAGTCCTTGGGAACGGTGTCAGATCCAGTACAAGAATGATCCAACCGAGAATCATCTGCATAGTCCGTGGGAACTGCGTGATCCTGATCCTGAGATTCAATGGAAGCATCCCCATATTGATCACACAATCAGAGATAAGCTGCTTTCCTACTTCACTAAATTAGATCGCAGGGTAAGTAAATATAAAACTTTATTAGCCTATGTTCTTTCACTGAATTAGAGGCTTATTGATACTTGCAAGATGCAAAGTTATAATTTTGATTGAAAGGGTGGTGGGTGGAACGTTTTTCATTGTTTGTATTTCCCTCAACTCAGGAGAAATTTGATATCCAAGCATTGAACAAAGTAGCTGAAAAATTAGAGTTTGCAAACAGGTAACAAAGTTTCTGTCTAGTAAAAAAGAGAGGATTGATATGCCTGTCGTTTTGTACACAATCTTGTTCTAGCAATTAGGTTAAGCCTGAGTTAATTTGTCATCTTTGGATTTGTTTTACAGGTTTCCCGTCCCACTCTATCCTGAATTGATTCAGTCAAGGTTGGAGAATGACTACTATCGTACTGTGGAAGGTGTCAAGCATGATATAATGGTAATGTTATCAAATGCCGAAGACTTCTTTACAATTACAAAAAGTGTTCAGCTGTTGGGCAAGATCAGGAGAATATCAGACTGGTTTAGAAAGAAACTTGAAAGGGTATAGAAGGCCCAAATTGGGTTTTATAGGTTTCTTCTAACATTGTTTTTCATTCTTTAATCCAATTTTGGAGAATTAGTTGGTATTTAAGTTGGTTTTATAGAATGGTGAAGGGCATAGGTGGTGGGTAAATATCAGCTATCACGTGTATATATACGAACTCATCCTTTTTAATGCCAATTGCCGTTTTGAATCATCTTCGGCTTTATAACTTTGATTTCAAATTTTAATCTTTTAATGGATTTGCCTAGGCTCCTTTGAACCCGAGTTTAATATTCAATATAGAGTGCTCTAGAACCAATAAAACCTTCCAATTCATACTTTTCAACTTCCACCATTCCACATTATTTCCTATTCTGACATTAATTTACTGTAGTGCTGGATGATTTACATTTTCTTTGATAAATTTAAAGATATATATAGTAATTAATTTAAAGTATAATGTATAAAATATTATTTTTAAAGTAGTTTACTATAATCACTGGACTATTATTTTTAACTAGCATTATTTTTTAAATAATTTTAGTTAGTGTAATATTTGATTGATTTAGCTTTTATCAACAATCATTTATATAGATTATTAATAGATTGATTTTATTTATGCAAATATTCAGTAATAAATAGAAAATATATAGTTTGAGTCAAGCTATACAAATATTTTGTTTCAAAACAGTATTAAAGAGTGGAAATTTTTATTTGTAATTTTGAAATAAAAGAATGAATTAAAAGAAGTCAATGATTGTATTTGTATGTGTTATGTATGTACATGTATTAAATATGTAAAAGTATTCATGCGCAGCGTCGGCTTGTAAATACGATTTTTTGTAAACTGTACTAAAATTAAATAAAATTTTAGTATCAACATGTTATTCATATAATTAAATTAGCTTTTACCTTCTGGAAATACGTTTGTGTGATTAGTTCAAAGTAAAAGTTATATGTTATATGTAAAAATAAAATAAATCAAAGAATTAAATAAACCGAATTAAATGATTGGTTTATATATTTATATATTATATATATATATATATATTGATATATATTATAGATATGTATATGTATATATATATATTATTATATATATATATATGTATATGTATATATATATATATATATATGTATATGTGTATGGATCGTTTTATTATTTTCACCGTCAGATTATAATCATATATTAATTATATTGATTAGTGTAAAATAAAAGAAAAATTAACAGTTATCAAATAGTTTATAGGTTTAATACCTATTTTGGTCCCTCGGTTTGTGAGGTTTGCTCAAAGTTGTCCTACCTTTTTTTTAGACGTTCATAAGTGGCAACTGTGTGCCTAATTGACGTGGCACATAGTATTTCAAAATAATTAGGATTTACTTCTTCACCCAAAAACCAAGGAGCAATGCCAACATCCCCGTATCGTTGCGGTGCCACCAAAGACGTCATCGATACTGTGTTTGGCGTTGCCGTCGGTGACACTCCCATTCTTCCTACTCTGTGTGCTCACTTTCTTATGTCAATTTCTATGATCTAAGAAAGAAAAACAAACTGGAAAAAGCAAATTACTGCCCAAATTTGGAAAGCTTCACGAAAAAAGGAAAAGGGATTTGAATAATCAAAAGGGGAAAAAAAATATGAATTGATTCAGATAGGGAGGAATAGAGAGATTGCACAGGAACGAAAAAAAAAGAAAAGAAAGAAAAGAAAGAGAAAGAGAAGAGAGAAAAAGAGGAAAGAAGAGAGAACGAAGAAAAGTAAGAAAAGAGAGAAAAGAAAGAAGAGAAGAGAAGAAATAAGAGGGAAAGTGAAGAAAAGAGAGAAAAAAGAGAAAGAAAGAGAACTATTATATCCGCTCCAACCCATCTTATTCATCCACAATTCATTACTAGACAATTATTAGGGTTTGATTATTGATAATATCAAAGAAACATATCTCAAAACCGTACTAAAGCATTGGTAGTTGTGGCAAAGATATGAGAAAGCCCATACTCATGGCAAAGACCCTCGGACAGAAGCGAATCAACAATTTACAACTTCCATTTAATTTATTTCTTCTCAAATTAAAAAGCCTAAAATAGGGGAAAATGNTGTATAATATATATTAATAATTTTGAAGTTGGCGAATGAACGATGATTTTTAATTTGTTAATAAAAAGATTAAAGAACATGATAAAAAAGATATTTGTGAATGTATAAAAAATTTATTGATAAATTCTACTATTAATAAGAATTAAGAGTTGTTGTTGAAATTTATAAATGAATTAGTTAATATTTATATATTTGGATATATCCTACTAAGAAAGATTAAAAACAATCAACATAATAAATCTGTTATAGTAAAAAAATATATATAATTGTGTTAATTGAAATTTCAAAATGGGAGTAATTTTACTAATTCAATCTCAATTTTTTTTAACTTTGTTTAATGTAGTCCTAATTTGCATTAATTTATTTAATTATTTGTAATGGTGGGTTTGGTTATAAATGGAAAATTAAATAAGTGTTATTACAATTCACATTTTTGTATTAAAATTCTTTCCAGTATTCATAAATTAAGCCTAAACAAATTATTGGAATATAATTATTACATTTTTTATTTTTTTACATGTAAAAACTAGGGATAGAGTTAGGTTTAAAAACAATGAAGAATTTTTCTAATTTTAAAAATAATAAAGAATTTTTCTAATTTTAAAAATAAAAAAAAAATTCTTCTAATTTTAAAAACAATGAAGAATTATCCTTCTAATTTTAAAAATAATTAAAAAAAATTCTTTTACTTTTAAAAATAATGAAGAATTTTTCATCTTAATTTTAGAAATTTTTTCATCTAATTTTAAAAATAATAAAGATTTTTCCTTCTAAAATTTAAAATTAAGAATGAATTAAACAAAATTAACAAAATTTGGGACTAAATTGAAAAAAAATACTTAAAATTGGGATCAAATTGAATACAAGACATCATGTGACATTGACACTTACACATGACACTGATACTAACTTGACATGTGGTACTGAAATTGACTTAACACGTGACATAAACATTATTACACGATACAATATTGACTTGACACATATACAAAATTTTTAAAATAAGAAAAAAAATATAAAGGAATTAATAAAAATAATTAAAAATCATGAATTGACACGTGACACACAATGTTCATCTTACCATTAGGTTTAGAACAGTAATGAAAAATGATCAAGTTGAACATAAAAATACGAAAATTGGGACCACATTGAATACTCGAAAAAATTAGTCTCACATTGAACAAAATTGACAAAAATAGGAATCCAAATAATATTTAAGCCTTACAATATATATTTTTCACACCTACATAAAACATCATTAATTATAATTATATGCTCTCTTTCAAATCAAATTTAATCATTCATTTTTAATTATTTTTTACTGTTGAGACTCTTGTGAATATATGTCACATACGACAACTGTAACATCCCAAAAATATAGCATAACAACTATATACAGGTGTCATCATTTAATTAATAGATAAAACAGTTACTGGAAATAAAGTTAACCTTATAGTTATTACAAAAAATAACCATAACATTAAAACTTTACAAAAAGTACTACACTATTCCAAAACTATGTGCATAATTACCAAATTAGGATTATAACCGAACGGTTCATACAAAACTATTCACAAGACCGAGCGGTCTTGTATTAAGCCGAGGGTCCTCTCCTTCCAAGGACTGCTCCACCAAGAACTCCTCTCCAACTGCTCACACCCATAGGGTGATCATTGCAAAAGAATAACCGAACGGGAAACATGGACAAAAATAGGAAAAAAGGTAAGCTAATGTAATTTAATTGTATATACATACATACATTTCAAACAAGTCCAAACAATGCAAGGCCGAACACTAAAACATACCAAAACCAAATACAAGCAAACATATGCAAATCAAATACTCAAGTAGTTATGACCTAACACCAAAATTCATGCATAGATCGAACACCTGACTTGACCATCCGGATTGTATGAATGTGTAGCTACAGGCATTCCTGCACTTGTGGTGGTGAAACAACAAGACCTCATCAAGCTACCCCACAAGGTTAGTCCAGTGAAGATTACCCTGATACCTTAAGGTTAAAGGACCTCCTGTCATTCTCACACATGAGTTACTCCTCTCTACTTGAGAATGAGTAATCACAGAATATCAGGATAAACACTAGTTTAGCACGATATCCATATTCATACTTTACAATTCAATAATCATCCACGAGACATTTCGCCTTGGAATTCTCTTCCACAGTACTTAAAAATAATTCTCATCATTGACATATAATTTTCATTCAAAAAAAAAAAATAATATACTCACTCATAAGACCGAGACCTTGTGAAAAGTGGAGACCGAATGGTTTCTCACTACCCAAGAATATGACCGAATGATCCACAATAGATAGAACAGAAGAAGTATCTGAACACTATTAAAGACCGACCACTAGAAGAGACCAAAAGTTAATACTAGCATAAATACTAGTATAATACTGAGCGCTAACACTAGCATAACTGCTAGTATAAGACGAGCGTTACACTAGCCTACTGCTAGTATAAGAATTCCCCCCGAGCACTAACATTAGGGCATAATGCTAGTATAAGGACCGAATGTTAACACTAGAAGCGGCTAGTCTAAGACCGAGCGTTAACACTAGCATAACTGCTAGTATAAGACCGAGCCCTAACACTAGCATAGTTGCTAGTGTAAGACCGAGCGCTAAAACACTATCATAACTGCTAGTATAAGACCGAGCGTTAACACTAGCATAGCTGCTAGTATAAAAGCGAGCGACAGCATAACTGCTAGTATAAGACCGAATGCTAACACTAACATAGCTGCTAGTATAAGACCGAGCGCTAACACTAGCATAAGATCGAGCGCTAACACTAGTATAGCTGTTAGTATAAGACCGAGCACTAACACTAGCATAACTGCTAGTATAAAATCGAGCGCTAACACTAGCATGGCTGCTAGTATAAGACCGAGCGCTAACACTAAGAAACCCACCCTTCTAAGACAAAAGGGTCATGAATTGATAGGATTCCAAAGAGACCGAACCCAGTTAATGACCGAGCACAGAACAAGGTCGAACAGTCAACAGTAACCGCTCGGCGTTCTGCATATTTCTGCAAAACTTCTGTAGAATTATGAGTAACTCCCAAGTTGACCAAAAATCCATGGGCGACTTTTGTGACACATGTTAAACATCTTAAAAGTCTAACAAGTCTAAATAAATTGCCTAGACGTACCGTACCCCAAAAGGGCACGCGGAAACCGCAAACGCAGAAGGGCGCGAGGCACGGCGGCGAAAGCAAAAAAGAGAACAGAGCGAACATTTTTCTGCAGAAGAAAACCCACCAGTTCACAGGTTTCAATCATACACAGAATTTCAAACACAATTCAATCAAACATCCACTTATTTATACATGCAAACGTCCACACAGAACTTCCAAACAGAGAAAAACATAATTAAATTACTAGTTTCCCTTACCTCGAATAAATTAGACAATTATACACTTCCACAGTCTTGTCTAACCTGCACGTAACTTCTAAAGCAACCTACATATTCAGAGGAGTAGTTGATGAACACATACAAGTTTTTTTTTTGTTTTTTTATATAATAATAATAACATTACAAAATAAAAATTAATATTTTAAATTAAAAAAATAAATTAAAAAATTTATTTGTTTTAATTCAATAATTAATAAATATTTTTTATTTAATAAATGTTTAATTAAATTAAAATTTTTCATATAATGAAATATATTAATATTTTAATTTATAAAATATTATTTATTAAACAAAAATAAATAAAACATATTAAAATATTAAAAAAAAACTTAAAACAGGATGTTAATCGTATTTGGAAATACGGATTTGAATTATTTATATCTTAACCGTATTTTCAATTACGTTTAACAATATTTTTGTTTTTCTTTTAATTTTATAATATATTTTATTTATTTTTGTTTAATAAAAGTAATAGGGGAGAAAGTAAAATATTAATATTTATTTTATTATATTAAAAAAAATTTATATTAAATTGGAAAACATTAATAATAATAGAATAAAATATATTAAAAAATTGATTATTAATTGAAATTACAGAATAGGAATTTTTGGAGGTGCAGAGTATTAAAAAGAAATACCTATCCCTTCTTCCCATAAAAGAGTTCATCTACCAAACTTGTTAGTCATAATTATGGAAACAAGAGTAACAATTGCGTTGAACATACATGAGATAAGCACTCACTCTGAGGCCGGTGATTTTGAACCAAACAGAGCATAAAACACAATCATATTCATATTCATATCAGTAGTTGTTGGAAGAAGAGAATGACTATGACAAAATTGAGGCTTGTAACTCTTCAATAAAGAAACCCAAGAATGCTTCACTACTTTGGAATATTTACTTGCCACAAGATTTTAGTTTCGTGAGAACCTTCTCATTAAGACTTTCATTCGATAAAAAAAATCTAATAAATTACTGGTAAAAGTTACTGCAAAGCCTAAACTACAATGTCACCCTTCTCAATTGTCTATCTTGACAAAAATATAATAAAGACATTGGTTACAAAGATGCTACTTACTAAATGAAAGATCATGTTAAAAGCTCATATATAATTAATATATTTTATAGGAGCAACCCACTTGTATAAACGAAAAGAGAAACACATTTTAAATCATGATAAATAATGTAAGTAATAATATATTTTATAGGAGCAACCCACTATTATTATTTATATAATAATATTTACACTGTTGTTCACCTGAATGGATTTGAGAAAGAGTGATTGAATGGATTTGAGAGAATTTAAAGGTAAATCTTTTGTTGTTTATTTGAGTGGGTTGGGGTAAGTGAGAGTGGATTTAGAAATAATTTTTTTTTAATCTGTCAGTTTAATAAAATTCTACACTGATTCTTACAAATTTTACTTCCAAATCCACTCAAATAAACAATAAAAAATTTACCTTCAAATCCTCTTAAATTCATTCAATCACTCTCCTCAAATTCATCCAAATGAATAAAGCCTTAATGTGGTGACAACTAAAATATAATTTTCATGTATGTAACCTAATTGTATTGAAAAATCACTTTAACACAGTAATTTATCTTGTAAGTTTATTAATTTTAAAAATAAGTCATTTCTCTATTCATTTTAAATTTAAAAATACATCTATTAAATTAAAAAAATATTAATTTTTTTAAGAAAATACTACATAAAAATAAAGTAATAACTTGATATAAAATATATTTTTATTGTTATTATTAGTTATACAATAATATATAATATAGTTACAATTAAAATGTTTTTATGGAACGTAAGTTATAAAACAATCACTTCAACACTAAATCTATCAATTAAGTTTATTAATTTTGAAAATATTTTGTTTCAATATTTATTTTAATTCTAAAACTACAACGACTAAGGGACTATGATAAAAAAATATTCATAAACAAGTTTTTAAACTAGTTTTTCATACTCATCATGTCATTAATTATAATTTATCAAAAACTAAATAAAAGTTGACGTAAAAACATATAAGTATATTATCTAATTGTTAACGCAATCAATTATAAAACCAAGTAACATATAATCAACGATAAACATTCCGAACATGTTCAGCAAAAACATTCGATTCAGGACTTACAGAAAGAGCGCTCTTTCACAAACATGGACACAATTAGAATAGCTAAATGTAGAGATAATGTGAATAATATCAATATGTGTCTGTAAAATTTGCAGTATTGGTTGTTTAAGAACCTTTTATATTGTTTTCCTTTTAATACATTTTTGGAAAGAATTTCTTCAAAAAAAAAATCTATGGAAGTTATGCCACCTCCTTATGTTGATGCGAGTAAAGATCTACTTTTTATTTGTTAATCAAAATCATAATTTTTAATACATCGTTGCAAAAAAATTTAGTCGATAAGGTGGGAATTTAGACTTATTTGTAAAAAGAATTTCAAGTGTAAAAGATGGATTTCAGAATGAGATATCGGATGTGTCGATTATGTTATTAAGGTTAGGTCCAAATAGTATATGGGCTGTTCTTTCATTTTATTATATTTCGGGAGGTCTTTCGCAGAACATCAATAAGTGAACATAAAAAAATTGTATCTTTAGGTTATGCAATTTCTAAATTTCTTATGACATAAGAAATGCCTTTTACTTTCTTGGAGAATGATATGAAAATAAGTTTTTAATTTTTAAAGATTTTTAATCAGTCATATAAGAGTCGCACTACATGAATCATCACAAAACAGACCTTTTTAAAAGTTTTTTTTCTCTCTTATAAAAGCATTAAACTTGTTTTTATGTTCGAATTAATGTTGTTTGAATAGTAACATAAGATTTTTAACAGTATTTAACTTTAATTTTTAGATACAATATCCAAGCTTTTAATCTATTGCTAAATGTAGGGTAGTTAAATTTCAACTCCTTCAGTTACATCAGTTAAATTTCAGTTTCTTATTCTTCAAATATATATATATATACATAGCCACAAATATAAGCAGAAGCAACATATACACATACATTGTGTCACATTTACCATTTATATATGTGATGGCTTTAAAAGTAAATCCTGTCTGTTATGGGTTTATCCATATGATAGTCCCATTTCCAACTCTCTATCGTTATTCTTTCTGGTTCCAGCAGTCAATGCAATGATAGGAATCCGAACACCATAAGCTTTCTCTATCTTTCGTATCCACTTTGTTGCCTCAAGACCGTCCATTATTGGCATCTGTCGAATCAATTGTGCTCATTAAAGTTACACTTAGATTATTCCCAACAAAAAGAAATAATAATGTATGTTACTTACCTGACAATCCATTAAGATATAATCGTAAGGAGGATTAGGAAACTCCCGAGGTAGACCCTCATCAACTAACCTCACAGCTTCTTCACCATTCTCACATTGCTCCACGGTTGCACCAAGAGAAATCAGAGTGGCAGAAGCTATATTGCGCAAAATTGCACTGTCATCAGCAACCAAAAACTTCTTACCCCTCAAGGGTTTCTGAGACCCTGATGAGTTTCCAATCTCTTGTGTTTCTCCATGATGAACAAGACTTATTTTTGCCTTCGATGATCGTTTTCCCTTCAAAATTTGTTCACCGGTTTGGAATGTACTTTCGTCGGTTGAAGAACTGACGTGTGATCTGTCCAGCAGAGGAGACGTGTATTTTGACAAACCTGGATCCTTGTAAGTGTTCAATGTAGCTCTCTCATTGGCCATTTCCCTCTTAGCTCTACTAGAATTGCTTTGCCAAGAACCTCCAAATTCAGGAAGGAGCTTTATGGTTTGGAACAAACGAGTACCATGAAATGGTTTGGATGTGACGATGTCATCTTGACTAAGGGCCTTCAAGTTTATTCTACGCATAAAGGGCTTATCCAACCACACAACCTTACACGGGTTGCGAATGTCTTTCTTGAAGTTGGACACAATCGTGTAAAGCTCAGAAAAGGGTCCTGCATTTGCATCAATCACAACAAGGATGAAGCCGGGAGAAGCTCCCACATCAGTTTTCTTGAAAACTAAAGGCATATGCTCAGTTCCATCCATAGAACTCAAAGAAACTCTTGTGGCTATGTCGAGAGAACTTTGAGGTGTAGACCATTGACTCATATCCGAAGAAGCTGGAGAATTTTGGCCACTAGAATGCTTAGCCTTCAGGTTGATCTTCCTCAGAGTATAAAACAAACCTTTCCCTGTATTCACAACTTTCACTTTGATCCCTAACCTCTCCATGAACCTTCGTGAAGTCCTTTGGCGCTCTTTGTCAACAATCAAAAGAACCACAAGGGAAGCCTCAGGCTTTGGACTTGAGCTGCACATTCGTAACTTAGGACTTATGGAACAAATTCTAGAAGAACCAGAACACGAAGCCTGCATAGTCTGCTGCTCCTCACATTCTATTATTCTGTCTTCTGATCCACAACCAACACCCTCCCTTCTGCTACCATCTGACACTCCCTCATTCTCACATACACTGAGATCCACATTGAACTTGAAGCATGTCCCTCTTTCACCGGTATCCTTCTCCACAATTTCAATATCTCCATGCATCAAACGCACCTATAGAAATCACAATAACATTTTTTCTAATGAACACACATGATTTTTTATACAACTTTTAAAACAATTACTAATGAACAGACGATTCACGATTGCTGGCAATTAGTAATACTTACCAGCGACTGAACAATCCCGAGTCCCAAACCAGTTCCCCCTTGGCCAAGAGCAGTATCTTTGATTTGGACGTAATTCTCAAAAACAGACTTGTATTTCTCTTTAGGAATTCCTTTTCCCGTGTCATCCACTTCAAATATAAAATCCATAGAATGAGGATCTTCTTGGATTGAACGCGTGGATTCCACGTCACTACGTGGTTCGGTTTTGTTACGAAATAAGCATGATAAATATTGCTTGAAACCAAATTTGCTAAAAGTGACTGTGGAGTTCTGCAGTAGTTTTGGCTTCCGAGTCCATGCGCGTACCGCTATATGTCCCTCATCGGTAAATTTCACAGCATTGCTCAGTAAATTACTCAGAACTTGTTTTAGTTTTCCCCTATCACCTTTCACCCGTGAATATCCCACTACAGAACCGTTACAAGGGTCCAACACCAGATCCACACCTTTCTTCGCAGCCACAGGATGGTAAAAGTCAACTACATCTTCTAAGAGATTGAACACATCAAACTCCTCTTCTTCGAGTTGCATTTTTCCTGCCTCAATTTTGCTTGTGTCTAGTATAGAATTCAACAGTCCTAATACAGTACAGGGAGTAAACAATGAAAAAATCAGTTTGCTAAATACAATTAACAACCACCATAGATATGATTTGTAAGAGTTACATACCTAGTAAGTCTTGGGTACAACCATTCATTTGTTTGAGATTGGTCTCCAATTCGGAACCGGGGGCAACCAATTCTGAAGATATCTCTATCAAACCGGTGATCCCTGCGAGAGAAGCACGAACATCATGGCTGGCACTCGCAAAAGCGGTGCTCTTGTTCATATTCTTTTTCTCGGCCTGTTGGGTGGCTTCACACTGTTTGATCAGTGAGGCACACAAATGCATTTCTCGCCTAAAGGCTCTGCAGTTTACGTATAGGAAACTGAAGAAAGCTATGAATATAGTCACCATTGTTGCCACAAACACTATCAAGCCCTTTTCCTTGTAATTCCGATCAATGATTGCATGTCCTTCTTTTGGGACAGCCAACACATACACCTGAAATTTCATTAAATCAAAGAAACAAAGGACGTTTCATTATTATTTGACAATGTTCTTTGACACAACACAAGATGTTCTTTTCTTCCGATTTGTTAATACAAAAATTCACTTTTGTTAGAACTATTATAGTTGTATAAAAAATTGTCGTTAAGCCATGCCTATAAATTAATTATGATCACATATTTGTAATAATTTACTTTTACACAAAGTAATCAGTCACACTCAATTCACTTATTGGGTAGTAACAGGAAATCACAATACTGAAATCGATTTAACGTAAATATCTCCTTATGATATCTACAAATATAAAGACGTACCGATTCGATTCCCATTATATCGATGGTGTAGCAGTGAATTGAATATGCAATATCTCTAATATTGAAACTAGAAGCAGCAGTTTGATCCTTGCATGAGACAGTGGCCCCATCAGCATTTGCATTCAGTGATTGAAACGAAACTGTATCATTAGAAATGAGGAAATGGGTGAGTTGAATCCCTGGCACAACA